TAAATTATTTGAATCCCACCACGTGTGTGTGTGTGTGTGTGTGTGTGTGTGTGCGTGCGTGCGCGCTCCCGTTTTGGCACTTGGTGCTGAAAAGGTTTGCCAACACTATTATAAGTACCTGAATGAAGGGAGACAAAGGGTGTCATCATCAGGATTCTGAATAAATGGTCATCTTAAAGTCTTCTATGTCTCTATTTGAAGTGAGGACCAAGGTATCATGTGGATAAGTCATACAGTAATCAATACTGAACACTGCAGAGTAGAAGTTTAACATAGGACTTGCTTTGTTTCTACTTGCCTCAATATGTTAATGTTCATTCAGAGAAAATGTTCCGAGAACATTTATTAGGGAGGAAAAAGAAATCAACTTCTTTAGTGAAAACAGCAGAAAGAATTTTAAGCAATTGAAGGAAGTAAAACAAGGAAATAATGTACAATACAGCAACTAGCAAACTGATACCCAGGTTCTAATTTCTAAATTATGGATTCCACTGCAATATACAGTACAGTTGGAGAACGGGAGAGAAACTAAAAAAGATATATTCTCTTTTTTCCTATTTGTTGATCTTAAATTTGATGGGAGTTTACTGTAGTAGACATCCTCCTGCCCCCCTCAGTCAAATCGGCATGCAAGTTACTGTGGAAAAGAATTTCAGGGCACTTGCCACAATGGGACCTGCCCAGGATGTGCTAGAGGTTTTGGGGAGTGTTTTTTAAAACTCCTGGCATAGCAAGGTCAATTCCCTAATTTGCGTCTGCTTGAGCAGTTAATTAAGGATTCCCTTCTGTATGTGGGCCTTGCCAATTATCAATTTGTTATCAAAGAACTACATAGAAATGATGAATTGACACTAAGTTAGGTTTGTTCCAGCTTTCCTTTTCCTGGGCTGTCTGATGCAAAAGCAAAATGGTGATAAATGGCTTTCTTCTGACAAGGCCATAGGGAAGGAGAATAGATAATCAGAGAAATATATAATTAATGAAATGGCTAATTAATGCTTGCTGGGCTGCTCAGAACTAATTTAACTGCGGATTCAGCTTATTATTCATTCAACTACCTAGAGATTTGTAACTGTATTTTAAAGGGGAAAAATGGCGGTCTTCATCTCAAATTAAGTGACAAAATGTTTGTACATATTAAATTGTACCAAAGTTTTAATAGTTCCTACTAAAGGGAGTGTTAAAGTAGGGGTATAACTTACATGTTATACATATATGTAACTACATGTTATGGCTGACTAATTATTACTGGTTAACTTAAATTTTAGTTAATATACAGAATATATTTTTTGTATAAATCAAGAACATGAGTGATAATATTAAGCACTATGTTCTGACACTAATGCGTGTTGAAGAAGGAAGATAAATCATACCTATAAAACCAATTGTGTTTCCTTTATGATTATTTTGATTTCATTTTGGCTGACAAATTGATCCCAATTAATTCCATCATCTGGGACAGCATGACTAAAGTTTACAATGATTTGCATTATGCAAATGAGCAATTTATTTTACAAAAAAGCACCTCTTGTCAGTTCCATACAAATGTCTCTCCTTTGCTCTCTTTCTCTCTTCCACGTTGGAGGATTGTATATTTTGGGACCCAAGCAGATCTCCTATTTCAGCAAGAGCTACCAGGATTATTGATGAAGGTCATTTGTCTTGTTTGGAAGATGACAGGCTTATAGAGTCTGGGAAACAAAGGTCCAGCTTTCCTTTATATTCCAGAACAGCAACCTTTTTCTTCACCCTTGTTTCTATTGAGTTTGTTAATACCCATAACCTTTGCCAACATTTTCTGTTCATTTCAGAAATTCTTCTAAATAACTTTTTGAACAATTTCACCAGAGAAAGGGAGTCTCTTGCTGTTAGCACAACATGGCTGGGCTGCCCATTGCTACTATTTTCAGCTTGTCCAAAGTGTAACTTCTCCCATAGATGGTTTGCAATTGGAGTAAAGAAGATAATATGCAAGAGGGCAACTAGTTATAATTAACCCACTTAAAACTGTATCCATTATACAAACCCCTGCAGTCCTGTGTTGTTTTCCAAGTAAGTCCTCGACTTACAACAGTTCGTTTAATGACTGTTTGAAGTTATGTCATCACTGAAAGTAACTTATGGCCATTTTTCATATTTATGACTTGTAGCATCCCCATGGTTACATGATTTACATTTGGTTGCTGGAAAACTGATTCACATTTATGACGGTTGCAGTGTCCTGATGTCATGTGATCATCTTTTGTGATCTTTTGACAAGCAATGTCAATCAGGAAACCAGATTCGCTTAACAACCATGTTACTAATTTAGCAACTGCAGTGAATCATTAACAAATGTGGCAAAAAAGCTCATAATATCGGGCAAAATTCACTTAATAAATTTCTCACTTAGCAACATAAATTTTGGGCTCAATTGTGGTCATAAGTTGAGGACTACTTATTTGGTTAAAATGTCTTCCATAGATGTAGGTTGCATTTATGTACAGACAGCATGAACCACTTTTTTAAAATATTAACATATTGGTCTCATGTTTAAACAAGTATTTGTGCATGTTCAAAATACAACATGGTTATGATGTAGCTTATGCTTTAGGGAAAACATTGCACTGTAAAATTCATAAACATATGCACCTTCTGAACTTCTAATGCATACATTTCATGAAGATGGCTTAATATTTGTAAAGTAGCTGCTCTTTTGGAAACAAACATTGAGAAGTAGGCTGTCAAGTACATTTTTCATTAGTTGTCATTAGGAATCTGAGGATATCTTTGGACCATTAGCTGTTTGGATGGATGTCTATCTGTGGGATATACATTAATTATACAACCAAAAAACATTTCACTTTTGATAGTTCTAAGTAGCTTTACCCATCCCAAGCAACTCATAGGGCAACCTATGGGGTTGGTGTAATTTGTAAGTAGGATCTGAGACCACAGTCACAAAGCAGAAACTTCATTCAGTTTCCAACAGGAGCAATGGGTATAAATGTATGTCACATACTACCTACCACTCTATTTCTTAGAACATCAGCAAAGCAGGTGATTTATTATTTATTTATCATAGTTATTTAGGCATTTACCAGCATCTTCACAGATGACAGGAATTATATAAAAATGCAATGAAGTAAGGCAAAAAATATACATAATTTTATCATGTTTAAATTTAAAGCATCATATGCTTGTTTGTTTTTCTTTGACTTTGTACCATAAAGACATTTAATAATGGGATGTGGAGAAATTGTAGCACATAGCATGGAAATCAACTCATTTTACTGAAATGTAAAGTACCTCTATTTTATAGAACATGACTAAATTATTACATTTCTGATGTCCCAATACAGTTAGAAATGTCTCAAAACAGGAAGCAAAGGAAACTGTAAATCTGAAAGAGTGCATGTGCAGCCTGATTATATGAATGTTAATTGGACATAAATTAATGCTTATTGCCATGATGGCAAGTATTCTAAACCACAAAAAAACCAGCAACATTTGGTCTTATCAAGCTAGGCATTTATGTCTTTTTAACAGAATCCCTCAAACTTGGATAACCTTTTTTGTCCTATTTAATGGCAGCTCTAACAAACACACGATAATGTCTGTGCACCCTTTCCCATGATTGAAAATTATTTGTCTATAGTGTGCGGGGGAAATTCCAAAAGGATATAACTGCATGTATCTTTCTCACTACCAGTAGTTTGCTTGTCACTTATTTTACGGAAGCCCTTTGGACTGATTTATATTGGATTTCATTAGCAAGGAATAGCAAAGACCTTTCTGGTGCAAATATTTTGTTCATCTCAAGTCCAATCAGGATGCAGTTATTCCATTTAAATAAAAATACAGTTAGTGAATGTAAACAGAGAGAGAAATTAGAAAAAGATGCAAAGCAGAATAGCTTTGAAATTATGCAAATTTACTTGGGAGATCACCCTCATTAAGTTTTCTAAAATGTAATGCTGAGTGTAAAACTGCATATTAATCATCTTTCCTTGGGAATAAACCCAATATGGTCATTCCTGAAATTGCTTGGAATTTTTTTCCACAAGTTATTGCTTGTTCACTGTATTCTATATGCTGCGTATTAATTATTTCATATTTTCTTCACTGTATAATACTATTAGTTTGAGCTTTCATAAATACATGATACATTCTATTTACAATCTAAATACTACTAAAACTCTCCTGTGTTGTCTATTTGTAACCTTCAATTGACCAAAATGCTGCATCATAGAGCAACCATTTTTGAAGCAACTGTTCTTGAAGCAACTTACTTCAAATTTTCTAATTTGGACAACATACAAAAACCCATTACTCCCATGGAATTAAAATGTCAAAGATCTTCAGTTGTATTCATCAACTTGTGACTGTTGCAGTGCTGCCGTGGTCATGTGATTGTGATTTCTAACACTTCTTGCTGGCTTCCCAGAAGCAAAGTCAAATCAGGAAGCCAGCAGGAAGCCAAAAGTTGCTTTTGCTCCCACTGCTTTTCTGTTTCTTCAATTAGCTATTAGCTATTAGCAAAATATCTCTGAAAAGAGGACTCAATAGGCCATGGGTCATCTAGTAGCCAATAAATGGTAGGGTGTTCGTTAACCAGCCATCCACAGCATAAATGGAATGATGATAGTAGGAAGAGTAGTAGAAGGTCCCAGACCCAGATAAAGTATAGAAATCAGTCCCAGCAGTGCCGAAACAAGTACACTTCTCTGGTCTCGAATGATCATCTTCACGGTTTCACAGAACTGTAAAGATAGTAGAAGACTTTAGAATAAAAAATTAAACATGTTCCTTCCCTTGCATGGGAGGAAATTTTTGTTTCATGATTTATGACTTCCATGTTTAAATGTGCAGGTTGTGCAGGTTCAACCTACACATTTGAATGTGCAGGTTGAAGCCTTGCATAAACTTGTAGAATTTACACATTGAAACAATGCATGCACTGTAAGCTTTTCCTATCAGTTCTAGCCAACGTAAGTAATGATAAGGGATTATGTGAACTGTAGTCTGAAACTTTTCCCCCTTGGAAATGGAATGGTAGAAACCTTTCTTTTAACTTTCATGTGAGTTTTAGCTCATTTTTGCCAACTAATCTATGTCTCCACTGCCAGTATCTTTCCTTCCCAGCAGTGATGTTTTCAGGTGTCTAGAATTTTGGTAGTTTCAAATTCATATTGGAGGTCATGTCATCATGTTAATGTTTAACTTGGGTCTTGCTTCTGCTGTTTCAATATTGGATGGGCATTTTGGCTCTCAAGACTGAGTGTCAGCATGTTTCCCTGTCTGAGTCGGGTTGACTCAGCCTTCCATCCTTCCGAGGTGGGTAAAATGAGGACCCAGATTGTTGGGGGCAATATGCTGACTCTCTGTAAACCGCTTAGAGAGGCCTGAAAGGCCTATGAAGCGGTATATAAGTCTACTGCTATTGCTTGTTTTCCAAAACAAGATATGGATTTAGTTTTTAATATTAAAAGATGAAGGAGAATTTCTCTTGAATTTTCTTCCTCCTTAGGGACAATAGATAATAATTTCTTATTTCTTCACCCAAAGTTTTGGTCTTTTGAATGCAGGGCAGAAGAGATATTGCCTTCCTAGAGGGTTGCCATTTCAACTGTCAGTACTGCTTATCTTAGTTCTGAGATTCTGACTTCCCAAATTAGCCTAGCTTTCCAGATAATTGAATTATATTTCTGGCATCTACTTACCTGTGGACTTTTGGTAGTTTACCAGTGAGAAAACACTGCGTGGTGCTTTCCCACACCCCCTTCTGTTTTAATTTGAAAATGTAACCAACATAAAAGCAACTATTTCTTCTAAAAAGTAGAGCATAACACTGAACAGTAGGTGTTTCATTGGGACAAGAAAAACTCTTCAGTCCCACCTTTTAGTTATAAAAGGTACTGTTATCCTTTTCCAGTCACATCATCTCTAATGATTGAGAAACTGAAATTTCTCCTTCTAAAACAATTTATTGTAAAGTTGCTGACACTGTATGTATGTATTTAATATGTATTTTTGCATGAAGAGTACTACATATTAATTCCTATAAGTTCATAGAAACATGGAAAATCTAAATGTCTTTAATAGCTTTTTACTCAAATGCAATAACTTAAGTGATTCCGCACAGATGTAAACATGTGTTCTAATTACCTTCACAGAAACACTATCTCCATTAAAATAAATTATTTGCTTCTGACTTAAATATAGGACGTATTTCCTTTCAAAAATTTTCCGTCCATATCCCTGCACAAGCATGCCTTCATTTTGGTGTATGGTGTGGGGAGAGTTCAGTTTTGCTCTTAATATTTTAATAAAGCATTCTCAGCAGAATTTTACTTGCACATTAAGTTTAGCAATATCCTGGAGGAATAATTGTGGCACAATAGGAAAATAAATGAACAAATCCTTAAATTTATTTTTATAGAAATGGTGGACTTTTAAACTTTTGCAATACTAAAAGATACCTCATTACTGCACAGACTTAAGGAATTAATATTAAGGAACCATTAAGATTTTGAAACTCTCTTCTGAAATGGTTTGCCCCTCGCAATAAATATTGGCACGAGAAGGGCAGCAAATAAATTTCATAATAAACAAATAAATAAAAAATCTTTGATTTAAGAGAAGGGGGGAGACCAGAGAGTTTAAAGTAATGAATTGCCAATGTTCTGCAAGAATATATTGCTAAACTGTAAATAGAGATAATTATCTCTTATAAAAGTAATTACAATTTTGTACTATTTCCTCTTCCAGTTGTGAAATCAGAAGTGAATTATGCTTCAGCAGAAGATACTCCAATTAACATAGCATGAACAGAATAATTTTCTTCCTGCGTCTGTATTCAAATAAGGGCATTGAAGAATTAAAGTTGCACCAGTATCATTGTGCTTCCTTGGCAGCATCAACAGTTCTGCCCAGTTCATAGATCATTTGTGGCTATCCATATATTAGTCTCTTGGATAAGCAAAGAAAACGGGCTTGAATCTAATAGGTAATGTAAAACATGTTCTAGACTTTTATAATCCATTTTAAGCCAGTCTAGGTAGATATCAGTTATTAATGGGGTTCCACCACATCCACCCACTCCAAAATCCTAGACAAACCTCTGTTTTAAACAAAGATGTCTTAGGAAAAAGTGCTTTTAAAATATATATTATAATGTTTATAAACATAAGCTACTTGGTCTTCCCCCTTCTAGCACATCATAAGTCAAAACAAGGATATAGCCCCCATTTGTCAGAGGATATTTGGACAATGGCAGTTTACCTTGGTTGTTTGGAAGCTGACTGGAGAGCCATATCTGCAGAAGGTCACAAAATGTTCACAGTTGTTCCAGAGTAAGCTGTATTCGGTTGTGCCTACTAGCTTTTTTGCTCTGTGGACCACTTCATCATTACAAAGAATACAATTTTTGAACAATGAATCCATATTGTTCACCAGGATAGAGCCTCCATAAGCAAAGTCCTCCACTGTGTCCACACGGATCCTTGCCATTTTTGTGATGACCCCCAAGATAAGTCTTTTATTCGTCACTACTTTCTGGATCAACTTCTGGTCATTAGTGAAAGCAGGCAGAATGTCTGGCATAAGATGTGCTACTTGGTTATCTCCCAAATAAATGCCAAAATGAATGAAGAGAGTGCGAGGCACTTCTAGCAAATCGCCGGGTGTGAAATAGGAAGAGTCATACCAACATACATCTTTTTTTCTCTTCTCCTCCTCTCCACTGGAACCTGTTTGAAGAACTTTAAGGTTGGCAAGAAGAAGTAACTTTTCCAGTAACAGGGATGCTATTTCATACATTGGGTTTTTCATGATTTTTTTTTCTTGCTGTACGAGCTGCTCCTGATTTATTCTGGTTTGGTCTCTTTTTAGTATGGCAAGTTGGGCCATCCCACACACTGAATCTGCTTTGATTGGTAGACAGGCAAGTGGGCAGTTCCTGTGGAGCAAAATAAAGTGGCTCTTTATTTGAAAAGTTTTAAAATATAGAACATTGAATAACAGAGTTTGAAGGGACATCGGAGGTGTTTTAATCCAATTCCCTGCTCAAGCAGGTGACCCTATACCATTTCAGTCTTTTTTTTGAAAGCCTCCAGTAATGGAGCTTCCACAACTTCTGAAGGCAAGTTGTTCCATTGAGTGCTCTCTGAGTTTTTATAGGAATCCTTATTATTTGTTGGTTATTTAACAACAAAATTACCTACCTAAATCATTTGGTTTTTTTCCCAATGAAAGTGCTGATTAAATGAATTATTTGGTCATTGATAAAGATGTATGTCAGGCATGCCACAATAATAATAATAACAGCTTCTGATGCAAATGCTACACTATGATTTATGAGCTAATAAACTAAAATCATTTGAGGAAAATATTTAAAAACCTTGGTAGGAACCCAGTGCATATTTCCTGGGGAGTAAATATGGTTGGACTCACCAGAACCTACTTGCAAATAAACATATTAAAACAGCAATGAAGAATTACGATATAATACATAAAATTAATTTCAGAGGAATTTATTTGAAAATGTATGTGGCTGATATTTATTCTCCAGTGAGAACATTTATGTCAGCAGTCTTAGTTTTGGGGAAAAAAATACTAGCATTAGGTAAAATTATACATAGGTGACATGAAAACTAGACATTGGTCCCTTTTCATGATATTCAAGACAACCAGTTTTTACTACAAAACCAAAAGCAGACTTGCTATAAATATATAATTAAAGGCATAGATAACTCCAAATACATACAATCTTAAGTAGTCCCTAACAATAAGATATCCATGGATTTGCTAGATTGTTTATAAGTATAGGATCTGAATCGTTCCATGCCATTGTGTAACTCCAGATTTTTTGCAGTTGCTGATAAAATGTTCAAGGCATATGTTAAGGCGCATGGATTGGGACTTGTTGCTTAGTCTAAGAAATCTTATCTTAAGCTTTCAGAATGATATATGGGAAAATCTGACATTTGCCATCATTCATTCATGGTAAAATCAGTGTTTCTAAGCGGATCACATGTTGATCTAATTATGCAAAAGCCTCAGTTTTGTCAAAAAAACAAAAGCTGTACTGGATTATTGAAAACTTCTGCCCTCCGCCCCCAGCCTGGCTCTCATCTGAGCTTTATGGCAAGAGGATCTCTTCAGCTGCCCTGGGGGCTGGAAATGCTGATGATGGGGGCCATTCATCTTACCTGGAAAACATCAACGATTGAGATTCTGGCAGAGGGGGAGACGCCACAGTGCACAATCCCCTCATTCTCACAATCAGCCTGTGGCTTTTTTCTTAGACCGTTCCTGGCAGCCAGGCTCGCTTTGTTTAGTTCGCCAAGTCTCCCAATTCAGTCTTTTGGTGGGGGTGGGGGTGGGTGAGAGAAAAAAGGAGAGAGAGAGAGAGAGAGAGAAGTATAAAAGTCTTTCCCAAGAACCTGAAGGAAGAAGGGGGCAGGACAAAAGAAAGGGGCGGTGTTCTTTTTTTCTCCTTCATTCAAATAGTTGGGGGAAGAGAGAGAGAGAGAACGAGAGAAAGAGGCAGGCTCTTTTTAAATTGTATGACATTTATTGTATTTACATAATGTAAGACCTCTTTGAAACAATTTAAAGGAGAGCAGAATTAATCTGGCACCACTCTATCTTGTTTACAGATGAGCAAGCAAGATTTGGCTTCTGTGGGAGGAGTTGAACTTATCACAAACGATCTGTTAAAAGGCAATATGCTCATTTTTAAGGGTTTCCCACACTTTTGGATGGCTGGCCAAGCAGTCCAGTAGCATTCTTAGTATATGCTTGGGAAGACAAGTCTTGGAATCTCCTAATATGCTGCCCTAGTGATCAGTACTCAAATTGTGGTTGGGGCTTGTTGGATTCCTGTTATTCACCCTCCTTTCAATATTTTCTGGAACTAAATGAGAGATGCCAGAGGCCATTTCTTGCCTTACATCAGACTGCACTACTGTCAGAACTTTGACTGCAACATGCATACACTGGCTTATCTTTCTACTGATAATTAATATTCAACTCCATCAGTAAACTAAAACTGCTTCTACCATTATGGCTCTCAGAGACATATAATATCTGGACATTGAGTGGTGGGAAAGGAGGAAAATGATTGTGAAAGGTGATCAACAATAGCACCAAGTAATGCCTGCAAATGATTCATTATCATTATCAAAGTCATATACTTTATCAAGGAGCACCTATAGATTCCTTTGAGAGCACAATGGCAAGTCCCTGCTTGCTATTCAATTCCCATGTTTCCAAGCTAGGAAGAGGCTGTGGGTGGTGCAGCTACTCCTACTGTGAGTACTAGAAAACCACAGGTATTCACACCAGTTCCACTCAATACTCCTGTTGCACTGTGCTACCACATGGCATGCTAAGCCGTTTCTGTTCTATGCCACCAGACAATATAGGTGGTCTGCTCCCAAAAGTCTCTGCCAAGCCCACATCAAAGCATTCCTTTTGGACATTTTCTAGGCAAAGTAAGACTGCTTGTATTAAATTGCCCTGTGCCACCAAGTGGAGGCAGGAAGCCAAGATGCATCTCAGCCTTTCACCTTTTTTCTTTTTCTCCACTACTGATCCAGGCTGCTGTTTCACATGGAGACAGGGACCTGATGCTAGGACACTGAACAAGTGGATCAGCATGCACGCACTTCCCACCATGATATGGTGTATGGAGAGTGGCCCTCTTCACGTGCCATAAACCTGCTCCTTTCTCTTTCCAGCAGACATGAAGGATAATAAAACCCAATTGCCATGAGGGAGATTCAGGCTGCTCAAAGGACAACAGGTTTGTGTCTCTCAACTCTCCTTCATTGCTACACAATTCCTTCATTGTGAGGAGCATAGAGAGCAGTTTCAGCATTGATCTGGGCTAATTCTTTCATTTGTTGCTGAATTTTTAGGTCCCACTATGCCTCTAACAGAGAATGATGCTCTACTAAAGCCCATGGAGACCTAGTCAAACCAATGCCTAAACAGCAAACGAGCATTATCCTTACTCTTGGAACCAGATATACTATTTGTTCTAATATAGCGTTTGTCAATCTTGGCAACTTGAAGATGTCCGGACTTCAACTCCCAGAATTCCCCAGCCAGCAAATGCTGGCTGGGGAATTCTGGGAGTTGAAGTCCGGACATCTTCAAGTTGCCAAGGTTGACAAACACTGTTCTAATACAACATCAATTAATGTGCTGACAAAATATTTAGTTGGGCCCCAGCAGAACCTCATGCAAATATGATTCAGGAAGTCAAATATAAGGCAGCCCTCTTTATTTTTTTTCCTTAATCACAATGCTATATATAGATCTTCTATGTCAGGCTTTCTGTCTCAGACTTTATGGAATCAGCAGTTATTTGAACATTGTTTTCTTGCCTACAACCCCTCCTCTTGGCTTCTAGGTGCTCGCTTAGAAAGGATTTTTTGAAATGACCATCAGATCATTAGTATTTCTTATATTATTATTAACATGCTCTGATGCTAAGGAGTTAGATGTTCTATTCCCCCTCCTAACCCAAAAATAACTGTTCCAACTGCCACTTGGATGTGGGCGTGGCCAGCTCATGACTCATCCACCCTGCTTGCTAGGAGTTTGGAGAGAAGCCTGAGGGAGAGAAGGAGATAGGATACGAGAGGTTTCTGTAGCATACGGCTGAGCAAGAGAAGGTGATAGGATAGGGGAGGTGTTAAGTCCTCGAAGCTACGAACGCCATTGACTAACATTGCCGGCTCCTGATTGGTTAAGACACAAGCAGCCAGCTGGCGGGAGAATGCAGCCATTCTATTGGTTCAATGTCTGACAGCTCCAGTATAAAAGGGCTGTCAGCTGTCAAATGTTGCTGTTTGCCGGTTCGAGGTTTGCCTTGCATTTTGCCTTGTTAAACTGTTAATAAAGGTTGTGTTAGCTTCAACCTGCCTTGCCTCAGTTTCTGCCTGCCTTGTTCTCCCTACAAGGGAGGATGGGATAAGGTCTGAGGTAAAGGAGAAGCAAAGTCACTAATAAGAGCTGTCTCAAGTCATAGGCGACGAGACGACACTCCAAGACTAACTCCTCAGTTTCCGTCCTTCTAAGGATGGCTAGTCTACCAGCATTCACGGCATTCAGCCCAGCCACTGAAACATGGGACGCCTACCTCGAGCGGTTCAAGTGTTTCCTGGAGACAAACGACTTCACTGGTTTGTCCAGTGGCCGTAAAAGATGATATTAACTCAGCGTATGTGGCCACGAGATGTTTGGAATGGCTAGGGCTTTAGCAGCCCCTCAATATTGGGAGACTCTTTTGGAGAAACTTAAAAACCATTACTCTCCAATCCCTTGGGCATAGCCAAATGTTATGCTTTTAGGCAGAGAACCCAGAGAGAAGGGGAATATGTGAGCGACTACATGGCTTCCCTCAGAACAGTAGCCCTGCACTGGACTTTCCTGTACTGGACGATGCCCTTTAGAACAGCTGGTTTGTGGTATCAAAGACCTCAGACTTCAGCGATGCTTGCTGGCACAAAAAGAGCTGAGCCTTCAGGCAGCTGTGGATGAAGCCATGGCATATGAAATGTCAGACAAATCCACTGCAGAAATTCAGAGATTTCTGCCATCTGCCACCCATGCCAGCAGGGGCCATGCTGTCCATTATGAAGAAGACAATGAAGAAGGTTACTCTGACGAGGAAGAAGAGATTAGCCGCCTCAAACTGGCTACCAGAAAAAAACGGACTCAGGCTGATTTTTTACCTCAGATGGGCTGCGTGCAAGGTCAGTTTGCAGGTTCAAAGCCGTAATATGCTGTCGTTATAACAGGAAAGGACATTTAGCCAAGATCTGCAGAGCGGCCATGCCAATCTCTAAACCACCTCAGGAGCGTGCCTTTTCTAAACAATTTGAAAAAAGACTGCCCAAACGCCACGAAGACTGCTTTGCCATCGCAGGTGACCAGCAGCACCCTGAATTGGCTTTCAGCCATGCTTTCCTGGCGAAGCTTACCCATAAGATCTACCTGACCGTGTGCATAGAGGGAGAGCCCTGCAGGTTGGAAGTGGACACCGGCTCTTCCAAATCTCTGGTCTCTTGGGCTACTATCAAACGAATAGTGCCCAGCCTGACCAAAGCTCAATTCAGACAGTGCCCACTTCGCCTCAGAGATTATAAGGGCAGCCAATAGCCATTGTGGGTTGCGGCACATTCATCATAGCCAACAAAAACTTCCCGGGGCCTCTTCCCCTCATCGTTGTAGATGGCCACCTGTCTAACCTCCTGGGGCTTGACTGGTTCTCTGCATTGGGGCTCAACATCCCGGCATCCACTCCATTGTTCCAGATTCCTTGTCAATGAATACTTCAGCTTCAACCACAACAATACACAATAGATACAAACTTATGGTAAACCGCTCCAAACTTGATTGCAGAAAATATAACTTCAGTAACAGAGTTGTCAGTGTCTGGAATGCACTGATACTGTGGTTTCTTCCCCAAACCACCAAAACTTGAACCTTAAGACTGTCTACTGTCGAACTCACCCCATTCCTTTAAGGGGCGTGCCTAATATTCCATTGTATTTGTATTCATTTCATGTATTCATAATCATATCTATACTTATATCTGTTATCTAATTCATGCTTGATGAAATAAAATAAATAAATAAAAAAGTTTCCAGTGGCACATCAGGACCTTAACCAGCTAATCAAGTTATATCTGGTACCTCTTCCCTGTCTACCTGGAATGTAGGGGATATCTAGCCAGATTTTTTACTTGACCTAGAAAGCAAAATTCTAGGCATTAGGTAGGATGTGGAAAATGCTGAGGGGAAATAATGAGTTCTTTGGAACAAAATGTGGAGCACAGCTAAGGAACTGCTGACCAGATGATTGTTGGGGGAAGGCAAAGCAAAATTGGTACATTGTCCACACCAGTATGTTAATTGTGGCCAACACAGCTAGCAATGATTAAATGTAAAGAACAATTAAGATGCATGCTTGTTTTATGATTCTGTGGTCACTTCTTGCATTCAACCAATTGATCCAAAACTCCCTTCAGAGAAAAAAGAAAGCAATCTTTGGAGAAGCATTTCCATAGTCTCTCACAAGCCCTGAATGGGTGACTGGGCTAGTTACTGGATAAAAGGGTAGGGGGCAGTCTTGGAGCACAGTTCTGGAACCTAACAATGCCCAATATATGCCAATGCATTACATGTTGACCACATGGTACTCCAGTAGATGGTCCACTAGGGTGAAAAGATCCAATTAAGGAGCAGCGCACTTAAAGCTGCAGGG